TCCTTCAGAACCCCCATCTGAGCTCCTGCAGCCCCTGAACTGCCCTCCTGTAGCTCCCAAGTGTGCCCCGCTGGGCTCCCCAGCTCTTTTCCCAGGCCCAACACTTTCATTCTACCACTTTTCCCTCGCAGATTCTCTTGTCGTGATGTCTTCACCTCTCCACAAAGTCCTGTCCATCTGGTGCCCCCCACACAGCCCCCATGTTGTATCCCGGGGGGGGTCCTGTGCACAGTCCCTCCTGTTCACCAGCAGTTAGGCTGCGTCCCCCCATTACAAGGACTCAGTGTGCTGTGGCACACGCTGGGGTTTCTGCCCTTTGCTCTGTACCTCCTCAGTTCCCCCAGCGTTGTAACCACCTCTGTGCCCCACTGGCCTGTGTGATGGCACCCATCTCAGGGTGTCTTTGCTTTGCTTGGGTCTAGCCTCAGGCGCAGCCCCCTTCACCTTGCCCCTCATTGTCAGGGACTAGTACAGCAGTTTGCTGGAGGACTCTCGAGCTCAGTGTAAGCTTTAAAACTTGTTTGAGAGCAGTTTCTAAACATTCAGCAAATTTTCTTTATTCCGGATGCTAATTGTGAAGTGATGCAAACTGGAAATTAGCAATCAGAAAAAGAAATCTTAAGCAATTGATATGACCTGATCCAAGTTGCTTCACAGCTCAGATTTCACCTCTAGTAAATGGTGTATTATCACCCTGTCCTTTCTCTAAGTTGTGTAGATTCTCTTAAGGTTAAACAGGATCCAGAGAAGGTTTTTAAAACCTTGCTATTATTGTCAGTGTTTACACTATGGCAAGCAAGCACTAGAAAAGCTAACTTTGGGCTAACAACCTGATGAGCTCTGTGCCATGCAAACGTACAACAAATGCCCTAAAAATGCTATGTTTTTTCCCCGTCTTAAAGGAGCAAAAAAGGAAAAAGCCTATTTGTGTGCTTTTGCAGTGTCCCTTTAAAAGAGCTGTGAATATTTGACTGCAGCACGAAGTTGGGCAAAAGGGGACCCCAATTTACTGAATCCTTTGGGCAAATTGTTTAGCATCTCCGTAAGTGTATCACTCTGCCTGTAAAACAGGGATAACACCACAGTGATGTAGATTAAATTCCTCGTAAACTGCCTTGGGTTGGGAGAGGCACAAAAAGTTTCTTCCTGCTCCTGTGGAAGCCTGTATACATTAGGCTTTAGACTCTCAATGAATTCACAGCACCTTAACAAGCTGCTGCAAGTCCTAGGAGCGTCAGGAGCTATCTGGGGCCGCATCTATAGCCTGTGGCAAATACAGGAGATGTAGAAAAGGGTTGAGCAAAGTTGCATTATCCTGCTTTGTTCTGCAAGCTAGCAGTGTGAGCAGCAGTTACTGCTGGTCACCAGGGTGTGGTAGGCAGATGAGCCTTAAATTACAAATCTTTTCCTTTCAGTTTTAAGGACTGAAGACATAATCACGCAGTGAACAGCAGAGAAGCCACCTGGAAGAACAACCCTCCGCACCCTCTGTTGTTATGGCAGGGGGAAGGCGGGGCCCTAACCGGACATCCTACTGCCGAAATCCCCTCTGTGAACCCGGGGCTGCTGGCGGCTCCGGCCATTCCACAAGTTCCTCTGTCACGGGTGTGCGCTCACGCACCAGGTACGTCCGGCTTTCCAGATCTTCCCACCTAGCCAGGCCAGCTGCTTCTCTCTCAGGCAGGTGTGAGGCCGCCTGTATCTCCCCATCTTACACACTGCTGGTCTTCCTGTGGCTCAGGGATTTGTTAACTCCTGGTGTCTAGCCGAAATCCTTTTCCTGTATGTGGCAGCATCCATGCTACATGTTGTAATTGGGATAGCTGGGTTCTAATTTGCCCAAGACTGTTAAGTGCTTTATCAGGCTGTGACAGACCTCTAGGAGTGTTCAAAAGCCTTTAGTGACCATTGAATGGAAAGTAAGAATAGGGACAAACTTTTATCCAAAGCCTGACTCTGGAGTTCTGTTTTTTGCATCTCCTATGCCCTGAAGTTTACATCAGGTGAAGTATTTCTGGGATAGAGTTTAGCTAGGTCAGGTGACCTGTAGGCTGCGGGCGGGGTGGTTCAGGTTCTAGCCTAGCTGGTTGATTGCATTTTTGCGATTGAGGTGGAGAAGAAGGGGAAGCGGAGCACTGACAGCAATACATAAGCAGGAGGTGCTTTATGAACTCTCTGCAAAGAAAAAGTTAGATCTATCTTAACATACTCCCTGCTTACGGCCCTGGGCCAAGAAATTTATAGGGATACAGTTATTCAAACAAGTTATTGCAAGGCCACAGAAGGTGGAGCAATCCACGTTGTACATTCTTTGCTGTGAGAGCGCACACAGAGGTCCTTATCACAAGTGGGTAATGTGGTACAAATCCATGCCCCAGCTTACCTCCATGTGGTTTGTCTCTGTAGCCGTACCCTCTGATACCCGTCACCTCCATGGCAGTCCGAGCTGAGGACTCCCAAAGTGCTTTATGCTCTTTACACATACGAGAGCCTTGTTGCTGCTCTTGCAAAAGCACCCTCAGGTCTCGTGTGTCTGTTCAAAGCAGAAGAGGTTTTGTGTTTGTATTTAAAGCCCTTTGCTGGAGGACCAGAACAGGAACTCTTGTTCTGCGTACAGGAACAGTTTATTGGTGGATGTATCAATCCTGAGCAGCTGAATCAGTCTTGTCAGCTTGGGAATCTGGGGGTTTCAGAGAGACAGCTCAGGTTCCTAAAGTTTTCCCTCATGCATGGTCTGATTTTAGGCTGTCGGTTTCTGCTTTAAAAAGCGTGGACTGATCCACCTGTGTCCACCCCTGGGCTAGAAGTCTTTCTGCAGTCACACTCCAAGACTTCTGTGGTTTTGTTTTGGGATTTTCAATAGGAGTTTATGCTCTGTAGTTCCTTTGAAACCCACACCCAGATTCCTTTGACTGTTGTTATTTAGAGATTGCAAATCAGGAGAGAGATATCTAGTATATATTCGTTCCCTTCCCTTTGATTAAAAGGGTTGCTGTCTGGGATTGTGTGCGTGCTCACACAGGAATATGCACCTCTGACTAAACTTGTTTTTCCTCCATAGTTGAATAGAAGTTGAAGAATGAGAAAGGGCTTGTGTTTAATTGCTCTGTATTTCATGTTCAAGCACTCTTAGAAATGTAAATAGCAACTCGAGGCCTAAAAGCTTCCAATTAATTAAGAGGGCCACTGGTTGCCCCTTGAATAGCAAAATACAGCCACAGCTTTTGAACCAGACTCAATGCAGGGGGTTTAATATCAAATGACCTGGTGCTGTAGGCTGGCCTGGCTCCAAATACTTCTTTTGCTGGGCAAATTCCTGCTCACATCTGCCTGTAGCAGTCATTCTAGACATCTTTGGGGTGCTGACGCTTCTGGTTTGTGGCAGCCATTGACCACAATAGTGAGCTTAGGTTTCTCAGTCAATGTTAGACCACTGACTTCTACAGCCTGAGTATGTGGGCCAGAGGGCAGTGCTGTGTTTATCTCAGGGAAGTGACTGCTGGCTTTTGGTTTTCCTTGGTAGGAGCGGGTCAGCGGTTCAGGTACAGGCCTTTCCAGCCCACCTTTGGCAACTCAGACAGTCGTCCCCCTCCGGCACTGTAAGATCCCAGAGCTGCCTGTGGAGAGGAGTGTGCTGTTTGAACTTCAGCTCTTCTTCTGTCATCTCGTTGCTCTCTTTGTCCACTACATCAACATCTACAAAACTGTGTGGTGGTACCCACCCTCCCATCCACCTTCACACACGTCATTGGTAAGCACCAAAGGACAGCTGCTGTCCAGTGATGTTCACAGACTGTCTCTTGGGTCATTAGACATAAAGGTTTCTATATATGTTTGATGCAAACTACGTGTGACACTACAGCCCTGGAGGGTTGCTCATCTGACTCTTATTTGGCAAATTTTGGGCACTGGCTGTCTGCTTGGCATTCTCTTCCGGATCTTGGAAGAGAGAGTCCGAGGAGAAGAGAATAACTTGGGAGCTTCTCTGTTGAATGTGGGTTTCTGCTGCCTGACGGAAAGTGGAATCATTTTGTTTTTGTCACCGCAGAACTTTCATCTTATTGACTTCAACGTGCTGACAGTGACAACAATCGTCCTGGCACGCCGGCTGATCGGTGCTATTGTGAAGGAGGTAAAGTCCCCAAGCGGATCTCAGAACTGTTCTTTCCCCTCAGGCGAAACGTAAAGCTGTGTGTCCCTTTTGCAGTTACAAACCCTTCTGTCCTTTTCTAAAGAACTTTGTGCTATGTCCAAGCCAGAAACCAAGCCATGGCATGCTTTCCGATGGGAAGAACAGAGAACAGAAATGAGCGCTTCAGACCATTGCTTGTGACTCTCTCTGTCCTTCTGTGATTGTTTCTGAATTACTGTCTCAACTAGACTGTGGTAATTCTGCTTTCTTCCTTGTGAAG